GTAGTTACTGTAACGCGTTACTTAATAACGCGTTAGTCCCAACACTGATTAACACATAGTGAGTGAGAAAGGTGACTGCATCATGGGAATCCCCCAGCAGCATCCCCCTTTTGCAGCATAACAAAGGGAGGATTCAGGGTCAACTGATCCAGCCCTAACTGATTCAGCCCTAGCATGAATCACACATGGTTTACTATTTTTTACTGTTATATTTCTATGAAAAGTTCTGGTTTATATCCATTTAACCAAACCGTGATTTCATCCACAGGTGGTGCAAAGCTTCTGTGAACTCCAATCATCAACACAGTGCCATGCTGGAGAGAAAACGCAAAGCTACAAACTTCCTCCTCACATCAGAGCTGGACGAGGAGATGACAGACACCACTGAGTGGATGGAGGCCTGGAAGGCTCCAAGAGGATGGTTTAAGGTAGAGGAGGAGGAAACAGAGGAGGAGGAGGAAGCAGAGGAAATATATGTCAAAGGGGAGGAGGAGGATGAAGGAGTGAATAATGAGGACGGAGATATGGATGAGGAAGAGGAGGATGGAAATCTGGATGGTGTGGAGGAGGATGAAGGAGTTGAAGAGGAGGAAGCTTTCAATAAAAATAATGTGGACAAAAAACTAGAAAAGGAGAGAAAAATAGAAATAGTTATAGAAAAGAAAGAAAAAGCCCTTAACAAGAAGGCTGAAGATGATGAGGATGATGAGGAAGAAGATGAAGGAGTGGATGAAAATGAGGAGGAGGAAGAGGAAGAAGAGTATGAAGATACTGACAACAAGATGGAGGGCGAGGAAGAAGACAATGAAGAGGAACAGGATGAAGATGGTGGAAGGGAGGATGGAAACAAAAAAGGCAATCAAAAAGATGACAATGAAACAGATAACGATGAGGAGGAGAAAGAAGAGGAGGAGGTGGAGGAAGTGGATGAAAAAACTGAGGTAGAGAAGCAGGAAAAAGGCAACACAAATGAAAATGATGAGGGTGAAGTAGAAGAGGAAGAGCAGGACAGTGAATTGAATGAAGATGAAAAGGATGACAAAGTGGAAAAGCTGAATGAGGAAGGCACAGACAAAGAAGAGGAAGTGAATGCAAAAATAAAGGAACAAGAGGAGGAGGAAGACATAGAAGATGAGGAAGAGGAGAACAAGAATGGCATAAATGAGGAGAAAGGAAACCATGATGGTGGCAGGGATGAAGATGCAGAGGTAGATGAGGAAGACGAGGAAGATGAAGATTATAATAACAATGAGGATGAAACAAATGTATGTGAAAAAGAAAAATACAAAGAGATGGACAAGAAATATAAAGGTGGAGAAGAAGAAGAAGAAAAAGAAGAGGAAGAAGAAGAAGAAGCAAAAGAAGAAGAAGAAGAAGAAGAAGAATCAAAAGAAGGAGAGGAAGAAAAAGAAGCAAAAGAAGAAGAAGAAGACAAAGAAGAAGAATCAAAAGAAGGAGAGGAAGAAGAAGAAGCAAAAGAAAAAGAAGAAGATGAAGATGAAGAAGAAGAAGCAAAAGAAGGAGAGGAAGAAGAAGAAAAAGAAGAAGAGGAAGAAGAAGGAAAAGAAAAAGAAGAAGAAGAAGCAAAAGAAAAAGAAGAAGATGAAGATGAAGAAGAAGAAGCAAAAGAAGGAGAGGAAGAAGAAGAAAAAGAAGGAGAGGAAGAAGAAGAAGAAGAAGCAGAAGAAGAAGAAGGAGGAAAAGAAAAAGAAAAAGAAGAAGATGAAGATGAAGATGAAGAAGAAGAATCAAAAGAAGGAGAGGAAGAAGAAGAAAAAGAAGAAGAAGCAGACGAAGAAGAAGAAGGAAAAGAAAAAGAAGAAGATGATGAAGAAGAAGAAGCAAAAGAAGGAGAGGAAGAAGAAGAAGAAGAAGAAGAAAAAGGAGAAGATCGTGGGGATGAAAAAAATGAAGCAGAAAGAAATAAGAGTAGTAGGGTTAATGTAGATAAGGAGGAAGATGAAAAAGATGAAGATGATGACAAAGCTGACGAAGATGAAGAAGAGGATGATGTGCAAAAGAATGAAGGCAATAAAGTAGATAGTGAGGATGAAGAAGAAGAGAAAGAAGAAGAGGATGAAGCAGACGACGACCAGGAGAGTGATGAGGATGGTAAAGACAGAAAGGAGAATGAAAATGTTGACGAGGAGGAAGGTGGTGTAATATTTGAGAAAGATGAAGGAGAAATTAAAGAGAATGACAAAAAAGCTGACCATCACAAGGATGAGGAAGAGGAGGAGGAGGATGAAGAGAAGGAGGCTGGTGAGAAAGAAAATGAAGCAGAGGTTATAGTAGAGAAAAACACAGAAGAAGAAAAGAAGGTGAAGAAGTCACAGAAAAGAATGAAATATAAGCCCGATGTCCCGCTTCATTTGCAGTTCCACAAACTGAACGCCTGCTTTCCCTCCTGGAAGAAGTCATGGATGGTGGCAGTAGCTCACAGAGGAGGTTATGATGCTGAGGATGAGGCTTACGAAGAGGGTGAGGAATCGGAGTTGAGAGCTTGGAAGGACTCATGGAGGATTTGTCGCTATAGAAAGCCAGATGATGATGACGTGGTGTGTTTCTCTATGGAGCACCGGAGTCAGCGGTATATGGGACTGACGCATGAAGAAGACGGCATGCCAAACAGTGAGTGGACTCTGAGCTGGAAAATGAACAAAGAAAAAGATGAAGATGCTGAAGAAGAAGAAGAAGAAGAAGAAGAAGAAGAAGAGGATGAAGATGCTGAAGAAGAAGAAAATTAAAAATTTCTGAGAGGGGAAATTAGAAGTGCTGGGTATTATTTATACCTGATATGAACTAAATGTGCCAAAAGCTGGGATTGTCATGTCTTATTTCAGATGCTGACCAGAGATACTTTTAATCCAAACTTCTGTTCTGCATGTTTAGGTTTAGGCTAGGCTACTGGAAAACTGCAAAAAGATATTTATTTCAACTGTTGATGCCGTCAACAACCTCACATGCCCAGAAGGAAGTTACAAATACAGTTAGCAACATGTCTGTGTTTACTTTAGGTCAGATTTGAAAACTACTGATGAGTCGTGATTTTTTTTTTCTTTCTTTACGCTTCTTATATAGTTTGGTGCTGTTTTGTGAGCCTTCTTGCTTGAGTGAATGTCAACAATGAAAAGTACAAAGTTAGCATGACAATTAACAGTAGATATGCAAGCTAGCCAACTCTCAGTCGGTAAAAACAATAGCATTTACATAAGCCCGGAAATCCACAGTTCATTATCAGTGGCTTTCAGCAAGAGTTCTCCAGGTTTTCTTAAGGTCTTTGAGAGTTTTTCTTTTCAGTCATTTTCAGTCCATTCCTTTTCCTTCCCATTTTCAGAGAAATTATTTTTTGTTGTGTATTTGTTAAGCACGAGCCACTTAACACTGGCCACCTAACTCAATGGATAAAGGAGTGTAACCTATACATAACAACCGAGCAAAGAACCAGTTTTAAAGCATTATATTACTAGCAGTCTGTTACAAAGACACATAATTTAATAAAACTCATGAAACAGTATTTCTGCCGAACAAAGAACTATTAATGGAAAACTTGGCTTATATTGACATGGTGTGCAGAGTGTCCTTAACAACTTTCAGGAAACTGAACAAATGGAGGACAAAGAAGGTGCAGAAGATGAAAACGATATGTAACAGTATCTTTATCCAGGGTCCTGCATCTGGTTTGATTCATCTCCTGTTTCCCAAAGTCCCATCAGAAATGGTCTCAGTGGAAAGGTGGCTGTCAAGAAGCCATTCATACAGAGGGGAGACAGGGAGAAAGGCTGAGAAGTGCCAAATTACACAAGTACTGGACTAAAAATGCACTTTTTAGTTAATAGTTGCATCATTTTCCTATTTAAGGAAATGAGTGTTGGCTCAAGACTTCAGCACAATATTGCATATTCTTGCCATGTAATGTTTGACTTGAGTGCCTTGGAGTGGCTGAAACAAAGATAAAGTGGTTGACAGCTTAAGAAGAATGTAGGAAAGGAGCCAAATGCCAGTTGGCCTCTTTACACCTAGCATTCGATGCTAACACTAATTTGATAAGTACACTCAGGGAGGATATCCTCCAGAAAGGCCAAATTTCACAATTTAACTTTTAAAACAGTTATCCAGATAAAAAGCATAAAATGTTATGGGTTCTTCACTTGCTGATGCTCCAGAGCATCTTTTGATTAAACTTTATAAAATCTTCATCTTTGACACTAGAAATTTGATATTAAAAATGATAACATACAAGGAAGTGTCCTGCTATAAGATTACATATGATTATTTTCACGTTTACAGTTATAGCTGCTTTTTCATCCTGTGTTACTAAATGTCTGCTAACTGCCTTCCACTGCTAGACTGTTTGTGCCATTAAACACCAAAGCTCTGAGGGTGATAAAGATGTACAATTTACCCCACATCAAAACATAAAAATCAATAGCCAAGCAGTGAGCAGCTGATGGCTGTAATTGGTTAACACAATGTACTGACGGGGTAAAATATGAAGCACTTTAAGAGAGGTGACTGAGGTTTGTCTGATTTTTAAAGTAAGAAAATGTCATATTGGTGTTGTGTAGATGGAAGAGGCTGTGCAGAGATCAGTCTTAAACATTTATATGGTGATGTGCGTCTTTACTGCACTCTTTTATGATACAGTAAAGATCAAACTGCAACTTTTATTAAAGTTATAAACTGTGAATTTACAGAAAAAAACTGCGTGTTTGTTTTCGCACAACTTATTCACACTTAATAGCACTACATAAGCACATTTTCAGTATTTTAGTTTCTTCCCGAGAGTGATCGGTCAAGACTGATGTCAGTCTGGTTCATGTGTACAGATCAAAATCTCTGTCTTTAAAAATTGAAATAAGTTTATCCAAAGTATTTTGAGAAATCATTAAAAGTAAAAAGAAAGAAAGAAAGAAAGAAAGAAAGAAAAGAGAGACCCAAACTGAGTTCTAGTGTGTTAAAGGTCATCTTGGATTTAAATTCAAATTCAAATTTTATTTGTCACATACACAGTCATACACAGTACGATATGCAGTGAAATGCTTAGACAACTGCTTGTGAAAAAAAAAAGACTATGAATAGGATAGGAAATAAATATGAAAATTAAAATGAAGGGTAGATTTAACTAGGAAATAATAAATAAAATATAAAAATTAAAGTTAAAAATAAAATAATAAATACACAATACACAAATACACAATATAGAAATGTATAAGAATATATGAAGAAATATAGAACAATAACAGCAGCTGTACAAGTACTAAATGGTAATTTAGAAATATAATGTCCAGGGTTGTGCAATCCACATGTGTAAGTGCCTTGTGCAGTGCAAATATGCTTAAAGTGATTTATTTAAGTGACTTAGTGATAAAGTGATTCGATTAGATGACCACGCAGTGTAGTTGTGCAGTGGCCACTAGTGTAAACAAATATCCAGAATGTCTAGTGTGTGTGTGTAAAAACCATATGTGTGGGTCAGTACTATGTAGTGGTGTGATTGAGAGACCCTATCGCCTGCGGGAAGAAGCTCCTCCTCAGTCTCTCTGTGTTGGTCTTCAGGGAGCAGAATCGCTTTCCTGACCTCAACAGAGAGAACAGTCCGTTGTTGGGATGGCTGAGGTCCTTCACGATCTTCCTGGCCTTGGTCCAGCACCGCCTGCTGTAGATTGAGTGGAGCCTTTCTCATTATACCTTTAGACTGCATAACAAATCCAGTGCATTACACTGCAAATGTGTTTTCGTGCTGAGGAGTAACATAGTTGAGTGTCCTTTGGGATTAGTAGTGTTAAAGTTTTTGTTAGGTTTGTGCATCAGTGCATTCTCAAACAGAGAGCAAAATCAATTTATTGAATGTGTTTGGAAACTTTTGCTGTAACTTGTGATGGTACAAGAAATAACAAAAGCACAAACCCAGGTTGAAAAAAACACTCGTCTACTTTTAGTTCTGTGCTGACTGTTCTTTATAAAGCAGGCACTAGAGGGAGATGTTGCTCTGTCTCCATGAGGTTCATCTGTATGTAGGACAGAGTGTCTGGCTCGCCTCTGAAGTCTGTACAGGCCCAGCAGACAGTGCACAGAACACACCAGTGAGAGTGGAAAAGATAAATAAGCATAAATAATGTAGCGCTTAACATAATATAAGAAGGAAGTTATAAAAAATGAACTCAATTTGGAGTAATAAGTAAAATCTGTATCTCTTATTAGACTGCTGGTCAGTCTGGAATGGGTAAGATGGATAAAAGACTCTCTGAGACTCATATTAAACCTATAAATCTCTTTCCGTGAATGGCCATTATTATCTCAAATAGAGACCAAATACTGTGAAACCACCACAAGTGCAGTTTACAAAAAGGGTGTCCAATAATTCAGTGCTCTATTTTCTCTCCGGCTCCACAGCAGGAGATGGCTTCCACAGCTTCTCTTCATCATTATATAATGATAAACTTGTAGCCTGCAAAGTTTCCCTCTACCCCTCCGAGTCTCCCTGCATTTTGTGAGCTTTCACATGCAGATTTCCTGTAGTGTTCAGATCAGGGCTTCCCCTCCTGCTGCTGACTCTCCTGCTGTGTATTAGCATGAGATCAGTCTGCATTGTGATGCTGCGCAGATTACAAAATACCCATTTCCACCTCTGATTGCCCCTCTGTCCTCAAAGTAGAGACAGATTAACAGAGGTGAGTGGAGTGGGGGTGGGGCAGAGCTGTAATACTGGTTTGGATAGTTTGGTTACTTCATCTGTGACCACTAGAACCAAAAAAAGATGCTTTATGTAATTGATGCGATATTTATTATTGGTAAATATTAGGAGTTTAGCTTTAATTATAATGACATTTGACTTGCAAGTGAAAAAAATGGCATTTTGTATTTATTAGAAGAACATAGAAGAAACTGTTACCTTTCAAATAAATAAATAAACTACATGAACTTCCTGGAAGTTAACCAAAAACTCAAATTCTGCTGCTCACCCTAGATTTGATGCCAGCTGTCATTGCGCATTTCAACTGATTTGTAGCTTTGTTGTCTGTGAGGTGACTGCTACAAGGAGGTCATTCAAATGACCTCATTCTGCAGTGTTTACAGTCTGTCTGTTAGCTTCTAATGCTAATACAGGCAACAAACTGAGCTTTTCTACTGCTGCTTTGCAAGTTAGATGAAACATGATGTCTGATCTGATCAGATTCATGTTGCTCTGTACAACTCAGATCCACAGAACAACTTGCATATTTGTGTGTTGATTCATATAAACTGTGTTTTCCTGACTATCTTGGGTCCACATACACATTGTAGCTCTTATTGTTGCTACTCGATTAGAGTAAAATTTAGATCAGAGAACAATTTGTGATACAGATGAATTTCTAGAAGGTGTGTGATCTTAGGAGGTGGGAAAGAAAAGCGAAAGGACTTCTTTAAGTTTCTTGAAGATGTTTCACCTCTCATCAGAGAAGCTCCTTAGATTATCATGACCTGGATGACAGAGAACCTTCACATTTTCTGTGCGTCATTCGCCCTCCCACTCTCTCCCGACACTACTGTCTGCACTGTCCCATCCAGTGAAGGCAAAAAGCCTCATGTTCTGAAAACTCAACATCTTCCACATCTCCTTCTTTTCTAAAATCACTGAGGTTCTTTAAATGGTGATTTTTTTTCACCTTTTTGATTTATAAGGAGCAACACATGCAAAGCTATGTGTTTATTGTGCCTCAGCCCAAATGTGCAGCTGGAGAGAGCAGACGCATTTGGGATATATTTGGCATTTGTTGCTCCATTAAGTTGGTGGCAAACATTTTGTGATCTAAGTGTGGACAAATATTATTGCACAGAAATGACATAAAAAGCTATTTAAAAAAAGATTAAATTGAGATTAAATGCACCAAAAAGCCAAATTACATTTAGGAGAACCTGGAATTATTTACCAAATTATTTAAAAGTACTAGAAAACCCATAAAATAAAACGTATTAAAAAGGTATTTTACTCCCCAAAATCAGCGGCTGAAAGTTAAGTATCTTACTATACCAAGAACAGATTTCTATGTTATGTTTGTTTCTGCTTAAGGAAGTGTGATACAGAAGTGTGTGTGTGTGTGTGTGTGTGTTCTTGTTGTGCACTGAGGAAAGTTTCAGCTTAGGTGGATTTCCTTTCAGGAGCAGGGTCATTAACATGTGAAGGTGAGGTTAATATGCATATTTACAGGGTGAGAGAGTGGGGGATGTCAGCGAGAGAGGTGGAGGAAACAAAGAAAGAAAGGCCTGTGAGGTTTTATATGATCAAAGAATTGAATCTACTAAACCACAGATGGTTAAAAGTACTTTGATCTTTAATTCTTTAATGCCTCAATGTCAGCTTCCCAAAAACTGCTGAAAAATCATTATATACTAATATTTTTTCCACTTTAAATAAATTTTAAACCTTTAAAATCAATTATTAAGTCACCTTAGTAATATTCTCTTAGACATTAACCCCTAAACTAAAAGGCTTTTATCTATATGTTATGTTTTTATAAAGTTAAACTGGTGAATCTTTATGTGTACCTGTGGATGTCCTGGGGACCATCCAAATAAAGTCAATTAAAAAAAAACATTTTCAGCAACACCTGAAAACCTTTTTCAGTTTTCATTTAGTTACTTTAGCCATGAACGTTACTTTTGTTCAAATATGAGGTGAGGTTTTATTTGAACAATTACAGCTGCTTGCTACTCTGCAGATTTCTTTTTTTAGGAGATAAATTTTATGTTTGGGGTAATTTAATCTTTCTTTTTCCAGTATTCTTTTCATTTTTTTTTTTTTAAAAATCACCACCAGTATAAAAATCCCTGGGCTCATTTTATACCCAGTGTAGAACAGATGAGAGATTCTGGCTCTCCAAAATTTCCTTTCTTTGTGCAGCATGTGAAGTATTTTACAAAACCCATTTCAACATGAAGTAGCTTTGAGTGAATTGCTGTACTTTTCTTGACATACGTGGATAAGAACCATCTAATTCTTCTTTTTCCATCCAAAGCTCAGCAAACAAAACCAGTTACCTGATAACTAAATTAGGAAACACGTTATTTTTCTGGGCCACCAGAACAGCTTTCAGCCAGTTCCCAGTATTGTTGATTCTACCTTCACCTCCACCCAGACGTCAAACAGAGAGCGGCCGTGAGGGGGCGTGGCTTCCGGAGCCCCTCCCCCCCTTGCAGGAGAATCACCTGGACAGAAGATAAGTTTTAGAGACACAAAACTGCGAGGGCGAGACTCGGGCCGGAGGAGGATTTACTAGATTCTTATACGGATTTTTCGCTTTTATGAAGTCTTTAAAGGGAAGTTTTTAAAATATCTTTTGGAGTAGCACCTGCTCAGGTTCTCAGCGTCTGAGTTATTTTTATGTCTATGGATACTTTTTTCTGACTTCTGGAGCTACAAACGTAAACTTCAGGGAATGTTTTTTCGACCTTCGATTATTCGCGGTTTTATTGTATTTTTTCCTCCACTGTGAGTTGAAGAACGGCCAAGAAATCAAGAAGGTGGTTTGGAGTGTTTACTATTTTAAGTTTTTTTTCACAACTTCGCTCAAATGAATTGGAAGGAGATGCTCAAGTAAGTCCAAATGACTCTGTGAAAATAGCTCTGTTTTTTTTTTATTTTTTATTTATTTATTTATTTTTTTTTTTGGGGGGGGGGGGGGGGTTGTTTTTATTGTTGTTGTTGTTGTTTTTAAAGAAATACGTGTTTTAAACCAAATGTATCCGTTTCCAGGTTTGTGCTCTGCGCCTTCATGTGTGTCCAGTCTGCTGCTGCTGCTGTGTCTGCTTCAGGTCTGATCATCACACTCAACATACAGTCATCTGTGCTTGTTTGTCTGTTTTTCTGTTTTTTCTTTCTAATAAGAACAAAATGTGACAATTAATTGGAAAATTCCCCAATTACAAACTATTGGTAGATTCTGACCCCTGCAGTGCGGGAATCTGGTGGCTCTATGATGCTGTGGGGGTCATGTTGTTGCCGTGCTTTGGAGTCACTTGTCTAGTTCCGGTCTCTGGGACTCTGGGCCGAGTTAGGGCCAACAAAAAACTTTAGTTTTTTTTCTATTAAATTGGTGTAAGATATAATTGGTCACCACCACAGGTCCCTTTTCCCTTAAACTGCCTAAACTGATTGCTGAGTCTAGAATAGAATAGAGTGGAATAGCTCTTTATCGTCTTTGGTAACAGGTAGCTTAACAATAATGTGTTCATAATCATTCTCCAGAGAAGATTCACCCCCCCCCCCGCCCCCTTCCCTGCATGTTTTTATTCATCAAATGTAAAACGACTTATTTACTTTTTTTGTCTGTTTTCTAATAAATGTAATGAATGAAGACAGGGGTTTTTCAGGTAGTTAATTTTGCTCTCTTTAGTGGGACAGCTTATCTGTATTGCAAATCAATATAAAGTGATCGCCTTTTATCCTTTGGTCAAATCTTTATATTCGATGGGATCCAGAAAGCATGACTGCTGCATAAGTATAGAATTGATGTAACTTGTGTTCTTTGGCCTTTGAACTCACCAGTTGTCAACCTGGTTGAAGAATGGTGTTTCCAAATGTCAGTAGACTGCAGAGACTTGGAGTGCAGAGCTGTAGCGCTTTACTGAGACATTTATTTAACTTTTTTCTTCCATTAATTTGTCATCAGTTCCTATATGGCC